ATAAGAATGTGACTGTAAGTTGTGTTTATCACCCTCCTTATTGCGGATGCCAGATGGAAGCCCATCTCGGGCGTGGAGGAAGGAGGACCGTAAATGACCGCCACTAAGCAAGTATCGTCGTCTTTTAAACGTAGACGGTACCAAAGGGGATCTTGTACCATGCTGACCAGATTATCTATGAGATCACATTGGAGGTCGTTGCAGAAGTACAGAGCCACCCCTCCACCTCTGCTAAGTCGGGCGTGCGGAACAATGGACATGCCTGGCAGTGCGATCTCCATGTCACTTATATCTGGGCGTAACCATGTCTTCCTTATAGCGATGAGGTCGCAGACTTTTGATTCTTGATGCAGCCGCGTTTCGGAATGTTTAATCGGTAAGCATAAGTAAGCCATGGTTGCAGCTAGCCAGTAGGTTTTCAGGCATTGACATTAGGGCTTCGCCTTGAGTGTCTCATCTGAAACAATTACTTCCTTACATGGTATCATGTGATTATTGTATGTTTGTTTTTTTGGTTGTTTACTAAATGGAAATGGTAAGACGAAGAAACGCACAGACACCAAGGGAAGACTACGAAAAAAATTAAATTTTCAAATACCGCTGATTGTTCTTTAGGCTTAAAATAGGTGCGAATATAGTATTTGTATCCTGATCGGCCTGAAGGTTTAGGTTAATGTGCCATTCCCAGTTTGTGGGTTGAAACATGGACACATTAAAAACCAGGATATGAAATGTGGAAGCTTGAAGATGATTGCGAAGGTATTACTAATGCAACAAGTAAAGACTCAGAACACAGTTCATTTTGCCTTTGCTAATACGGTCGTCATGGGAGCGTGGGTGACTAGGAAAAGAAATATGCGTGCTATTGGTATTGTTCTTACGCTGTATAAATTCACTGTAGGTTACGTTAATTTGCTGTGTTCCCTTCAGGCACTTGGGGACAAGCTGTTGGAAAAAGACAGGTTCTAGTACAAGACTTAGTTTCGGTTATTTGGTTATCCTTAGTAATTTAAATTTAACGATGCTACATTGGATGTGTTCTTAACATTGTCACCGGTTTGGCGGAATGTTGGCTTCTGGCATGATAAGTGTTATCTCGCACACATTGTTTTGTCCATCACTCAAATCATTTAAGTAGAATCCACTCATTTCACGGTCGCGGTAGATTTGTTAATTGATCATTGCCAGCTCCCCGCGTTCTCGTCTCCTGGGACCTATTTGAATGATCCGCCGTCAAGTTCCGCATCAATAGACAATTTTTTGTAGCACTGCTTGGCAACGTCTTTTCATACTTCCTTTGTTTTGATTGGTAGGAAATTTCATGGTTGCTTACTGCAAGGATTGATGAACGATGCTGGTTGGACTAAATTTTAACCTTGGTTATGATTTCTTTGGTAGTCAAGGAACACAATAGACACGAATAAAAACAGGATACATATTGATTGAAAATGTAAACCAGGGAAACCGCACCCTTTCAGACACAATTGAATCAATAAATGAATAATCTAAAGTTTATCATATCTATAGCCAGCCAGATAGCAATATCCCTAACAGAAAGCGACCGAGGAAGGCGTTTCTTATCCGGAACCGTCAGTACGGCTTATGTCAAAGTGTCGCGGATCTAAACTTATACCATCCGAATCCTCTTACTACTCATCTGAGATCAGGGCCCAGACCAACTTACTTTCTGTTCCATACGTGAAGGGGAGGCTTTAGTTTGGCAATGTTGCTGTTCGGTGAGGCGTTTACCCCGTTTACTGCACGGTTGTAAAGTGCAAGTCAGTGGGTAGTGAACGGCGCTACTTCACATCTAGTAACAGTTACAACGGTCGTTACTGTCCTCTGTAGCTCAGGGCTCTGAGACACAGACTGGCAACAGTCCAGTTGCGGGTTCGATCCTCACAGACTTTGGATGAAATGCGCAGTGTTGGAGATTCCTGAAGGGATGAAACGGCCGTACAATGCGTTCTCGAGTGTGTGATGATTTCCTGAATGCGTCTGGATATGATAAATTTAATTTATACCATTCAAATCTCCCTACTAGCCAGTTTACACAGATGGTCGATAGGGTTACCCACTAAGAATCCGCTCTGGATAGTGTGACGAAAACGGAGTACATGCGTAAACTGATGAAATTTGTTTTAGTGCTGCTTTTGATATGGCGCTTTTTCCAGAAATATCACTAAGGTATACGGAATACATAATCTGGATCCAATCGAGAAAGAACTATTGCAATATAAAATATTTCTATAAGCAGTCACGAATAATCCTTGCAATTGGAATTGTTGCGTTAATATTATAGCTCATAATGGCAACAACGACCAAAGAGAGGTAAGTCAGAGGCTTCCCTTAAGGAAAAACGTCAGAAAGTATTTTTACGAGCGATACCGGAGCAGAAATGCGTTTATTTCTAGGTGAAGTTTGAGGCTTATTCTCTTCCACTCAACTTTGGCTCTGTGGCTCATGCGTGAAGTTACCCCTATTCATTGAAGATGTTGAGGTAAAAACCAACGTGCGTCGATCGAATCACAGTCGGAACTCTTCAAATATACTGACGGTTACCTTGAATTCCGGTGTGCGGAGCACATGATGTTGTGTTAATTATATAGAAGCAAACGCCATAAGCAAATGCCATATCATAAAATGATCGGCGTGGAGGCTTCAGCCATTGTTTTGACGACTGGGCTCTGAAAAACAGTTTCTCGCCCCACACACGTGAACGGCTTCGGCCAAACTGCATAGTCACAAGTTTTAGCAATCTTTCGAATGATGCCATCGAGATGAATGAACCAATCCTATGAACATCTGCAGAAGTAGAACGAACCGTTTTTGAGCACATAAAACAGGGTTTTGGTGGCGGATAGCAATTGCCTCAGCTGCTGCTAGTAAACGACATTTTACCGCTCGTGAAAGACGTCCAGGTACATGGTAAATGGGTTGGAAAGATTGGCGGGTGCTGACTTGGTGATTAGAATCAAACAAGTGTGCCAACACGGCACTCATCACAGTTTTTCTCCCACCATTGTGTAGAGTACCTGGACAATGCTCATGTATTCTCTCAGACAACCTCCTAGTAGTTCTCCCGATGTATCTTGCGCGACATGAACAAGAGAAGGAATATACATAGTAAGAAGTACGTGACCAAGGAAGTCTGTCTTTGAGTTGAGGCCTCACGATTGGTGTTAAAGTAAGACTTAGCCGCAAGCTCGCTGCGTAGTAGGTATGGCTTATAGCGGCGGATAATCTTCTGGATGTTGCCTGCGCTATACCATCCCCCTTGAACGGCAACGACAAATAAACCGGTTTCTTTTCTACCAAAGCTGGTTTAGCTATCAGTTCTGCACTCCATATATTTACGAACAAATTGTTAATGGATAGCCATTTCTCTCGAAATGCCACTTAAGAAACTGAGCTCGTCCGCAAGTGTGTCCTCACTACAAATCCTTCTATCCCTTTCGGTTAGACATGTTAATCAAGTTGCGTTTCTGATTTATTGGGACAAAACTAGCAACATGTATATATTGTCCATTCCACGTTGCTTTTCTATGTACCATCCGTTGGACCGATCCATTTGGTCTTCTACTAAGCTGAAAGTCTAGGAAGGACATCGTGTCATTGCCTTCAGTTTCTAGGGTGAACTTGGCATTAGGGTGCGCTGAGTTAAAATGGGATAAAATTGTCTCTGGGCAACAGTGCCTGTCTGTCACGCAAAATATGTCGTCCACATATTGTCCGTAATATGATAGACTGGTAATGACTCTGCTCAGATAGGTGTTCTCTAATTTGCTCATGAACACGTCAGCTACTAGCGGTCCAAGCGGTGAGCCCATTGCTACTCCATCTTTTTGTCTGTATATGGCCCCTTTAAACTGAAATTGTGTTTTACAGCAAGAGTAAATGTTTCAGTTGATCACTTGAAAGTCCGATACCCAATTGGTGGTCTCGAACGGTGTCACATATATAGTCTAATATCTCTTCTAACGGAATTTTGGTAAAGAGCGACAACAAATCCAACGAAAACATCTTTCTTCCGGATAGCTGAAGCTGTCTTAGGAAGTCAAAAAAACTTAATGTGTCTCGTAGGCTGTATTTGGACATAATATCGCTCACCGGCTCTAGAAGCTTAGCTAACCACTTGGCTGTTGCGTGATACGGTGAATTACGCATGTCTAGTATGGGCCTTAGTGGAAGTCCTTCCTTATGCACATTCGGTAAGCCGTAGGGTTGAGGTGCAGTACCCGTAGAGCATATGAACAGCTACTAAGATTGAATTTGGCATCAGATTTTTCGGACATTGTGGCCATGGTTGAATTAGTTTGATGTTGTTAGTTAAACACTACATAGTTCGTTACACAACCAGTTTCGAACTCTGGGCGTGGAGACTGTCACTTACAGACCCACCCTATTGCACTGCACGGTATTGAGAGAATCTCCCGTTACATACGTAAAGGTGATGCTTCGGCTTTTATTTATCCAATGTAGGAAGAACTCTTGTTTTCTCTGTTACACTACAAAGGAATTATATGCAGAGTAGCATTTAAGCTTAGGTGCTAGATAAACTGAAACCAAATCTCCCCATAGACAAGCTCCGTCCAGAAAATAAACCGTCTTCGTAAAACTAGCTGAGTCGGTACCATCTAAAACGACGCTGCACCACCCATGAAATGCCACGACTAATTCAGTTAAAAAAACTCTCTTACGTGGCCAAGTTCTAGTCAAGAACCGGAGCAGCGTAAACGGTAATGGAAAATGTTGTGAGTACAATCATCGACTCTGATCGATCCGCTTCCAGCTCGCTGATCGCTTCGTGCCGCAAATGCCTGGTAACAATATATCAGCTTTACTGCCTCTTAGTTTCTGTGCGGAGTTACCCATACGTATGAAGTTGGGCCGCTCCTTCACACCAGACCATCACTTTTTACCGAAACTTTACACATGAATAATTCACGGTGTTTATTGAACCAGAATCAGCCGTGCTCTCCGTTTTATTTACCATGCAGTTCAACATTGTCTACGGCCTGACAAATTATCGGAGTCTACAACTTGGTGACTACACATATCCATTGTGGGCAAACATTATCGGTTGGATGTTGAGTGGGATATCCATGTTGGCTATCCCAGCAGTTGCTGTGTACCAGTTGTGCAAGACGCCCGGTGCGATACGTGAGGTGAGTACTGCTCATTTAGCTGTGCACACATGTGAATAGTGTTCCTAGTGCGAGGAAAATGGACTTTCAACGTTCGGTTTGTTCCGGGATGTTTAGGAGGGATTACATGTTTGGCATCGCAACTTCGTAGTGTGGATGGTAATCCAATAGAGAAAATTTGAAAGAGTACATAGTTATTTTGTTAGTCAAGAAGGTTGATATGTTCGAGACAAGATATTAATGCAGTAAATGGAAGCTAGTATGTAGGGACTTGACCTATTAACTAACAGCATTTTTTCCTAATGACCGCACTTTGTGTTAGTAAGTAGTTCAGCATATAGCTGAAGACAGCGGTTAAACATATAAAAGACTCTCGAAAAAAGCGGAAGTTGACAACCTTTGAACAGAACAAGAGCTGTGAAACCTCTTGATGACGCATCCAATGGAACCCACCGCTGTAATAAAGGATCGATGGACAGCGGATGATGTCAGCTTACACATAAATAAATAAATAAACATGCGGTTTATTACCCTGAGGTCGGTTAACTCAAGCCGATTGGCCGTGCAATCACATACAATTTGCATTGCCGTGTGGAGGAGTCAACTGATTTACACTTTATGTTTTCGTTTTTGAAGTATATATCTTACAGTTTGCTCACGGTATATGTATCTTTGCTCCGGTTTGACCCCCTTCTAGAGATTTAGAAAACTTATCCAACCGTGCCCAAGCATGCTGGTCACCGGCCAAGACACTCCGGAAGCCGTGCCGACAATCAAGATAACGCGAAGCGCTTCAGAGGTTATCTTCATTCCAGTGGAATCTTCAACTGATCTAAACATGAACGTATGTTCTTCTACTCCAAATATGAGTGTGGAACGGGACAAGCAAACTTAATCTAGAGGTCCGGATGGTGGTAGAGAACCAACCTCATCTGCTGCTGGTGTTTCCTCTCCGAGAGATCTGTTCACTTTACCTCGCAAAGTGGTCAATCCCTTTCATGTAGACCATACGTCACCTTACATACCATTCCACAACATTGGTAATATTCTACGGACACCAGCTTTGTGTTGTCAACCGCTTATGTTTACACTGCACCCTGCGAAAAGCACTCTAAGCAACCTCTACGCTGTTATAACGAGTAAAATTCATCTTTAAACTAACCAGTTCATCTGTGAAATATTGAAAAAATTTGTGCCAAGTTATACATATATATATATATATATGATTTACTCATGAGTGGGGGTTTTGATATAGTTAATTGTGGGTTCATCGCAGCCAGTTCCAAATCGGATAGTTGTCCACACGCCCGGAAAAGCACTAGACTGCAGTTTCATCCTGTTGGGCAAAATCAGTAGTACCTATCCATCGGATCCATCAGGATTCGAACTCATGACCACCAACGGTTTGCCCTGCCAGTCAGCAGCTTATGCCACTGGACCACGGGGGACAGCTTCTGACCGTCATACTTTGCAAGCTACCTGTCATATAGCCCTGTCTTCGGCAACATTCGTAAGTTTGCACGACAGTGGAGGATAAGATGCGCTATATCGCAGTTAGCTTGCAAATTATGACGGTCCGAAACTGTCCCTCGTGGCCCAGTAACATAAGCTGCTGACTAACGGTACAAGCCGTCGGCGGTCATGGGTTCGAATCCTGATGGATCCGATGGATGCGCACTAATACTGAGGCCCAACAGGCTGAAACTGCAGTCTAGTGCTTTTCTGGGTATGTGGACGACTATCTGGTTTAGACTTAGCTGCGATGAATCCTAAAATGTATATATATACATAGAGATATGCATATATATATATATACCAGACCGTAGTCATCCTAATTCCACCCACCGCAGTTAGAATAATCTTGTACTGGTGAGCTGAAGAAAGTTTCTGCAGAACGTGCAGTGTCGAGGGAAGGAAAAACCAATCCTGGGAATTTAACGGTAGGGTGGCATAATCATTGAATTCAGACTAGCGAACTGCTCTCGCTATTCACCTCTTAACCTTAAAGGACGAATTTTGTGGAATAATTACATGGTTATTAGTTCGGTGCAGAGGAACGTTTGCATCACACCGCTGCTTTCACGGTAGGTAACGTCAGTTTGCTTAGTGATGCTTCGTGACGTAAATCATGATTTATTGCACTGATGAAACTCCATCCGAAATGGAGATATTTTCGGGATTCCTCGCTAGCAACATGGTGGCCATCTCACTGTGGCATTGTAAACTGGGCTCCTTCAGAGATAGCCTCAGATCGCCTCGAGGCCAGAAATTGGCAAAAGCAACCAGAGCCTTGGAGATGCGCTAATAAATCTCATCCGTTAAACCATTAACGCTGAAGCAGCTTCCGAAGTAAACAAACTTGTCCACCACTTCTAATGTATGACCTAAAAGTGTAAGGGTAGGAGCGGCACCTAGTCAGTCCTGCAGGAAGACCTTACACTTCGATGGTGCGAATGTCATTCCAAAATGGGACACAGACAGCTCCAACCTACACAGAGGATTTTGGATGGCCTTTGAGGAATCGCAGATTACGGCGATATCGTCTGCATCCTTCAAACCCCGAAGTCGGTCCCTCGGGATGCAGCTCGACGCCGTTGGGTTCGCAGTTCTCCAGAGCACTCTCCAAGACTCTGTCCACAGCGGAATTGAACAAGAAAGAGAATGCTAGGCAGCCGTTTCACTCAATTGGTGATACTAAAAGAGAGGGCGAAATTCCGTCGTACACCCACACTCGGCCCGAGGTTTGAGAGTAGATGGCTTGAAGTATGATGACATACTTCTCGAATACTCCACTTTTCAGTAGACAACTCCAGAGAGCAGCTCTATCGACTGAATCAAACGCGGCTCATATGTCTAAGAAGACAACGATCGTTGGCTGGCCAAATGTTTGACGACGCCCGAGTATTTGGCGGTGTGTAATGATGTGACCAAAGCAACTTCCATCTGAGCGGAACCCAGCTTGCTCTTCATGTATGCTCTGTCCGCGTACCAGGCTGAGCATCCTTAAAAGCAGAGCTGCCAGCACCTTGGAAGCAACACAGATGAGACAAATCGCTCTGTGATTGGCGCAGACTGTTCAAGTAACCTTTTTGAAGTCGGGCACGATGTCCGCTAGGCTCCAATCTGATGGGATACATTCAGTGACCCAGATCTCTTGGAGGAGAGAAATTAGATACAGAACAATTGATGAGCCGCCATCTTTGAAAAGTGCCGCAGGGAATTCATCTGGGTCTAACGCTTTGTAGCGCTTTAAGAGGCGAAGCTCATGGGAAATCGCAGCCTTGGAAGGTGGTGAAACGTCCACACAATGTGGAGCGATCTGGTCTCCAGAATAGGAACTCAGTGGTGCTGCTGGCCAATTAAATTGTTGCTCGAAATGCTCGGCCCAACACTCGAGTGGGCGTTTTTGACAGTGGATTGGCTCGCCATTGGTTTCCCATAAAATTTCGTTTACAGCCGGGATTTTGCCGCCAGTATATGGGAGCCGAAGAAAAAGCTTAAGGAAATTCCCCTAAGTGGCCGCTTGCTCCATCTCAGTGATCAACTACGTCCACCAGACCTCTCTATCTTCCCGGAAAAACTGTTTGAGGTCAGCGTTAATAGTCTTGCGCTGTTAATGGTATTTAACGTTAGCAGGAATTGTTTGACGGGCTTCGAGAAGTTGGAGGGGTCATGCAGTGATCCAGTGGTGGTTGACAGGAATACTGGTGAAGCTACAGCCTAGGGTTGCAGAGTTGTACAGGGCGCAGCAGATGTGTGTCCAGTGTGATACAATGTCTGTGCATGAGGCAGTCTGTAACCCTGAGGCCAAGGCATCCTGGAATGCGCGGAGAACGTTCGGGGCAGAAAGCTTAGATACGTCAAGCCGTTTCTGGTGACTCTTCTGGGAGCTACCAAGGCGTAGCGCAACCTTGGCACACAGCAGCCCGTGATCCTAAGTGAGATGGGTACTCCAGATTGATTTGCAATCGTGTATGCAGCCCTGCCAGCCATAGCTAATGACGATGTGGTCAATTTGTTTCTACAGCTGGCCAAGTGATGGGGGTTTCCAGGTGACGCATTGGCACCAGGATCCCCGAAACCAAGTGCTCGACAGAAACAGGCTGTGATTTTCGCAAAGCTGAAGTAGGCGATCACCGTTGTCTGTTCTGCGTGTGCGTTGGCCGTGTTTACCACCGAGCTCACGTTCGTAAACTTCAAGTCTACGGACCTGCGCGTGCAAGCCTCCGGCGAGCACCACGATGTCAAGACTGCGACTTTTACGGAGAAGGTCGGCCGGTTGACCATAGAACTCGTCCTTAACTGACTCCGGGCTGCAATCTGTGGGAGCATACGCTGCGACAATGAATCCACAGCGTCTGATGGCTTCACGTCTGGACTGTCGCACTGAGGTTTCAAGTCGGATCGCGCATAGTCAACTGTTGGCAGGGATCCAGTCTAGTAGCGCGGCCTCAGCACGTGTGATCAATGCAATCTCTAAGCCCGCATAACCAGCGGCTTCGACGGTTGAGTCTCGCGATAGGCGCAAGGTGGAAATGCCAACGGAATTCGAAGACGGTGATAGTAGTCGCAGCGTCGTGCTAGAGTACCGTAAACGGGTCTAGCATAGACAACAAAAATCAAGGGCCGTAGTTTCTAGAGTGCGAGCAAGGGTTGCCTGTGATCCAATCTGCATCAGCGTCCGAACATTGAAGGTTGCCAGCTTGAATTGGGAACGGGGCGCTAGAAATAGCTTGTCGACACGATTTGGCGCACCCTCAGACTTCAGCTCCTGATCCGTATGGCGAGAAAATTCGCACAAAGCGGTACGGTATTGTGAACTTGAAAACAGAGCGGGAAGACCAAGAATGGGGGTTGTACAGATGTAGGATAAAGTGACTATACGGTGGTGCGGTAAAACGTGGTCTGACAGGTCCAGCCACCAGCCCCTTAGCCGAGAAGAGCAGTTCCAGAGAGTGAGAGCAGATACAGCGAGAACGTTGTGAGCGAGCGAAGAATTGTTGAGACATGGATCCATGGGTTGTGTGGGCAGGGTGTTTCCCAAATGCCCAGGCCGTGGAAGAGGGTTAACTTAGAGGATCCCACCCGGAGCCTTGGATCATGAGATACCTAACCCGTTTGGCAGCGGGGCGATTGAGCTATACCGCAAACCGTTGGCAGCCGGTTTTCGAGGTGAGAATAAAACGGCTTTCGAGTAGAGGCAAACTATTCAGAGTGCCCAAAGAGACCGAGTGAAGCAGCAAGGAGACCGGGATTCCCTGGACTAAGGAACTCGCCGCAAAGCATGAATGCCATTGACAGCCGGGTGGCTCATACACTGTCAAAGTAGTCGGTGCTTATTCATCCACCCTCCGTTAATGTACTCACTTCTGTGACCTAAAGAGGGTGCTCAGTGACCCTATATTTGGTCTTATTGGCTTCGACACTGTGTCATGCGAGCCCAGAACCCCCCAAACTCTAGGGCGCTGTCGCCGACTGTCCGCGACTGCTTATTCATCTCGCCTGAGAACAGCCGACACTTATTCACAGTTACATTCGTAAGCAAGGCTCTTCCAATCCGCAACCTGGTGACGCGCCCGTTGACCTACAGCTCCGCGAACCAACCAGAGGTCGGTTCACTTCCGGGGTATTTATGCATGCCTTCTTCTAACTAGCTCATTTGTTAAGGGAATCCACATCAATGTTTTTTACAACCTGTCCTTCTAACAGTCGGTTAACTTGAGCACGAGCAATAAGGTGTGGGCGACTAAATGGAGTCCTAAAGGTATCCAGAGCATCCCTGGAACCCTCCTCTGGTTCTATTATGGAACAGCTCTCCATCGCTTCTCTGACATGCGCTTCACACTAGTACCTCAAATATGATAGCAACCCTTCAGGTACGTCGGTCAACCTCATCTCGTTATATTGGAAACTGCGTATGAAAGGTTAGTATTTCATTGGGTTACCAGCAAATCACGCAGTCTCCAGTTTCCGGAGCCCACTGGTGCATCCAGTCACTTGACATGCATTGACTTGTCTCGCTGAATTGGACTGATTGTTAGTGTGCGAAGACACTGAGCCACAGGATAGAGCTTGTACACCAACGGAGGGCCGGAAAAAAACTATTACGCCAAGCTGAATCATCGTGTGAGCGTGCGGTTAGTTCAGTCATGCATTTATCGCCTGCACTTCGATCGTCGACCAAGGTCAACTGCGCCTGT